TTATGGCAGTAGGCAATGGCCAGCGGCAAATTGAATATCGATGAAAATACTGATTGAGTTAGAGATAACACTTAACAGTCATCATAAAACTATTATTTTTATGATAAAAAAGAATTGAAGAAAGTCGTAAAGAAATAAAAGTGATAAAACTCAGCAGTTCTTGGAAGTACTTGAATACAAAAATTATTGTCGTGATAAAATGTTAATGGATTTGGGACTGCTAATGGGGTTTTTATTGCATCATCACCCTAGTAATAAATTATGAAGATCGTAAACAAACATCTGATAAGACTTTTATGTGCTCGGAACCAACTGTTGTTGACTACGATAGTAAACTGAAAGTAATTTATTATTATAATAAGGCTGTACCGAACCGAATTTGTACCGTGTAAAATGCTGTACCGAACCGATGACGGTAATTAAGCTTGTACCGTACCGTACCGACTTTTTCGGTGCACCGCAGACCCCTAATGCATATTAAAGTCGAAGCAGTCACTCACTCTTACATCACTGATTCCCCTACTTCCCGGCTAACTAGAAGACTGAAATTCGGTAAACTCATTTTTCATGTTAAAAGTTGACTTAACGATTTTACCAAAGAGCTGTGCCCTAAAATACCTTTAAATTCCTATGTTCACTTATCAATCTATTATCCAAATTGTGATATTCTGGTTTATAAACTCAATTGTTGTGTGATTGGCTGCTATTATTTTAATTATTTCTGTTGGACGGTACAGCTTATTTTTGTAAATTATATTTTTACTATAGTTCTTCTTTAATGTGTTACACACTCTTTCAAATTAATTTAGTATTTATTTCTTTTTAAATATAGATTTTTTCCTACAGTTACCTAACAATGTACATGTTCTCTCACTGATTTGAGAAAGCAAAGTGGCCAATTCGCTCATCAGTGAGACAATGTTACTCCAGATTTGCAACGTGAAGGCACGAAATAGTGAGCGCGTAACATGCAGGCAACGTCGTATGCGCGCGAAATACGTTGGCAGCATACGTTGGCTGTAAATCAGCTGGTCAGCTGTTGTACTGTTGTATTTGTCACTTCACGTTAAATGTTATATTAAAAGTTCACTTCTGTGTAAAAATTGGTTATGTTTCTTCACCAATTTATTTGTTTTATGGTAACTGTAGGAAAATTATAATGTGCAACTCGAGTTCAAAGTACAATTGCCTCACTCGAGAAACCATTCCTCACTTGCCTACGGCTCGTGAGTAAGGATTTCCCTCGAGTGAGTCAATTGCTCACTTTTCTCACTAGTTGCACAAATAACTATTTACCTAATGGACCTTTGTACCTTTAACACCTTTTACCTCTGCTACTTTTTATCTCTAAACACTAAACAGCTCACTTCTTTTGTCTCCTCTTGGTTATTTATAACTGTTAATTCCTTGCCAAATATCAAAATTATTTTTTATCTCTTGATCTCTTCCATACTTCATCTACATTATTTCATGTCTTCTCATTTCTTTCAAGTGTTAGACTCTAATCCCAGCTCTGATTTGTTAATGTTATGTAGAGTTGTTTAAATTTAATTTAATGTTATCTAACTTTCCTTTTAACTGCCCTAGCTCTTTAAATCAATTATTGCATGATCAAATAAAACTAAATTATTTAATGCAATGTGTTTGACAATCATTGACATTGTCTTGTAGGTTGACTCTGACCATCGTTGATAATTATACTTATAGTAAACAAAATGAAATGACAGAATTGACAGTGTTCCATTGGTTGTCCAGGCTCTGGAGTATTTCCTAGGACTACAATCAGAGGCTCACAGAGAAGCTTGGACTTGCATCTTGCTGCTCATCCTCACCAGGATAATGAAAATGTCTGACGACAGAGTGAGTAAAGACCACCAAGTCCATCACAAAATAAATATATAAAAAATTTTATTCAGTATTCAGTAAGTAAATATTATTGATCAGATCAAAACATCACATTTGACAAAAATAAAGTGGAGCTAATTGGTTCATATTATTCTGAAACAAATCGTGCAAAGAAAAATAGATAGTTTCTACAGTTGATCATAATTCATAGTTTGATCAAAAACTACATCTCCTATACTGTAAACCTAATTAATTAATTTTTAAAACCTATTTGATGATTAAACGTAGTTTTTACCCTTTTCCTTGAATTTGGATGAGGTGGTTACTTACCTCTACTAAGTTAAATTTAACCCTATTAGTATTGTCTAAAAAAAAGTCTGATAAAATCATGAGATATTTTATGGTGAGAGACCAAATCGCATTTAAATTAAAAATTTATGATTCTACCAAATTGTTTCATTAGTTTTACCGTCACTCTTCCACCCCCTATTTTTGCTAAAGAACCCTATTACAAGGAAGTTTACTGAAAAATTCAATTTTAAATATATTTAAAAGTCAATTTGCATTTCTTTTCTTCTAGCTACCAAATTTTCAATCACAAATGCAGTAGATCTAGGCCTGTTTAAGTTTTGACCTCACAATTACGGGCTCCAATAACCACAAATGTTCGTAACAAGTTGAAATTCTGAAGTTTGTTTTTGTTCAACTTTTTCTGGACTTTTATTTGTTAAAGGTATTGTAACAGTTGAATTAAACTTGAACACTTTTTTTAACTTCTTGTTTAACAACACACTGTTGTGTGAACTGACGTGTTTCTTTGTTTCAGTTTGCCGCTCACGCATCCAGCTACTACGCCCTGTTGTGTGAACTGATGTGTTTCGACCTAAAGCCAGAACTGCGCTCGGTCCTGCGTAGGTTCTACCTGAGGATCGGACCTGTCTTTAACATCACCTGAGAACAGGTTGGTTACTTTGCTGGGTAAATTCTCTAATTAATTTCTCCTGTGGTTGAACTGTGGGAAAATTTTTTTTTTAGGCAATTCAATTAAGAGCTCTTTGTTTAAAGTTCATGGCAAGTTTATAATATTTTAGGGATCATTGCAAACATTTCCAATCCCCATTAGGAAAAAAAGGTTTTCACAACATTCAGGAATCTGATTCCGTCCTCAGGTGTGCAAGTAGGAGAATCACAATATTAGTATGTTTCTTTTTGTTTAGTTATAAAATTGTAACTACAGTAGACCCCCTTTTAACCGACCCTAATGTGACCGGACCTAGGTCGTATAACTCAAAAGGTCGGTTAAAACGGGCAATCCCTAAAATGAAAATCATAACATAATGAAGTGCTATTCATTTGGAATTATATAATCATTATTTTGAAGTCATACTTGCATTATTTATAAAATAAACTACTCTTATCTCCTTTTTTGTATTGATAGAAAAGTCCCAAATAAACACACAACACGGTTAAGCCAAATAGGCCTACTTTCAGTGGAATATATTATAGTAATAAGCAAGAGTCAATAAAAATTCCTATTTTAATAACTTTAGTACTGTAATGTATTAATTGATGCTTTCCAAATCCATACAGTACAGAACCTTTTGCCGAAATTAAAGATACAAGCAACCATTTTGTTACAAGACAGGATGTTTATTTATAGCCTCTCACTGGAGGCTCGAGGCACAAAAACTATCTTGACCTTTGAGTTAACCCCCCTTCCCTGCCCTCCCTACAAGTTGTGTTGTTTGTTTACTCCAGCGATAAGACAATCAGTTCTCAAAATCGTAACGCACTTTACAATGTTATAAATTTTCTGCAAAGATAACAAACTGACAATATTCTGGATTTTGTGTGATCAATACAAAATAACTTATTCTTAGTCATATCCTGTGGAGATAAGCGTATGGTTCAGTTCTCATCGCCCAGGGTGGGAGCGGAAATGCCGAGATTCCTAAAAAGCGGCGGTTAAACCGAACTGCTCTCAAAGGAAGGACGGTTAAAACAAACTGTATTATTTTACGATCGAAGGCGGATAATCCGATTATCAGTTAATACGAGGTCGGTTAAGAGGGGGTCTACTGTATATTGACTCAGCTGTAAGTTTACCTGTTACATGACATTGTCAGTAATCTGTAAAGATTGAAAAACAATAAGAAATATGTGTGTGCAAACGTGTCCGTTGTGTTTTGCCTACCATATATTTTTACTAATTGTTGTTTACTGTCAGGATTTTTTTACTAGTATGCTAGTATTCAGTCCCTGTATGGTTGTTGATATTCCAGCATTGTCTGAGTTTATGTAATGATCTTTCATGTTTTAGGTACTTTCTCAGATTCCAAACCCCAAAACGTTTTACTAACAATTGTGATGGACTTTTATCACTTCCCAATAATATCTCAAGTTCCAATCACGTGCATTAATAATGATTGTGGTAACGATTGTTTCTTTAACAAAATTCGTCAGTTTGATCAAATGTATTGGTACTTCCTGCTAATTTTTCTTGTATGACTACTAGTGTTGTGTTTTGTGTGTACAGGTTGGCGCGCGCACATGTGTCAAGACACCGCGGCCGCGCCCAAAAAGTGTTTCGTTCCACTCGAGTTCCTGAGATAGTAGCGAGCCATCCTAGTCAGTAGTTTGTAACCGTCTCCGTTAGAACTTTATTTTTGTAGTCTAAACTGTGTTATTCAGGATAGATGAAAATTTATCTTCCTCTCTAAGTGAAGTAAATACTTGTATTTTATATAGCACTTTAAAGTGTTTTAAGTGTATAGTATTTTTCACCTGGAAATGATGAAATGCGAGCATAATGGTAAACTGTAAAGCCAACTATGTTGTTAAGGTTGTAAAGTAGTCTTACGTGAATTGCTAAGTCACTTAAATTGTACCTAGAATAATAATCTATTAGTAGAGAATTTTACTAATTTAAATTCTGTGTAATATAAACTTTATAAGTATTTAAACTATGCATGTATTTTAAAATATGTATATTTATAAATTAAAATTGTTATCATATGTTAAACTATATGGTAATTTATTTTTTTTACTTTAAACTCGTATTATAAAAATCTGTTATAAACTTATGAATTTAAAAAACAACACAGTTTTAGGTATACAAAGATTTTATAACATTTTGACGTTTCTTGTCTATTATCATGACTGCTAGGGATAAGACTATTAAATATACATCAGGGTTAGTTATTTTCCACTAGAAGCTTAGGTTGGTAGAATGGACTGCTTATAGGTAGCACCGACTGCTTTAAATGTACTTAAGTTAGGTTTATTCGTGCAATCGAAAGGGACTGTCAATTATAAAAGAAGAGATTAATTTTAGTATAGTATAAGAAGTTATTGTTTTATCATAATATCTTTGTTGGTAGAACTTATGAGATTATTTTATTGCAAATTATTGTACACATGTTTATATTATTTTGTATATCTTCCTGTTCTTTACTTTTTTCCTATAAACATGAACGATTTATTGTAAGGTTGTTATTGAAAATCAAACAAATGATCTTGGTGAAATTTAATTTATTGTTATATCTATTAATTGTTATTTAATTTCAATACTGTTATTGTTTTCAAAAATGTTTTCTTATTATATGTCTTTTTAACTAACTGATTCATCATGCAATGATGTATTGTCCACAAGTTTAACATTTGATACAACAAGAGGAAACATGGAGAAGTGGAGTCCAATTAGATGGCAATAAAATGTTATATCTATGAAGTTAAATATACCGGTAAAGAATAATGAACCTGTATTTAGCTTATAACTTTGGGTTTCTTTTATTACCTTCCTGAAAATATACCTTTGAATACATAATAAATCAATTAAACTCATAGGCTATACTTCTTTTAGCGAATTTCCCTATAGGGAAGTAGCTATTACCGTAGGTCTCATGGTAAGACTTAGGCCCGGGACCGATTTACTTTTTCATTTTGATGTCCCCAGAGGCCAAAAACACCATTCGTTCAAATTTTTACATATGTATATATATATAGATATATATATATATATATATAGATTTATATATATATGTGTCCGTGAACACGATAACTTGAGTAATTTTTATCCGATTTTGATGAAATTTGGTTTGAAGGTGTAAGGCGGGATAAACTTGAATGAGTTCGCGATCCAGCATGATCGGACCATGGGAACAGGGTTTTATGGGGGGTTTTATGGGGTAAAAATTGGTTTTTCTCACTTTTGACCCTCAAAACACAAAATTTCCCGATTTTTCTCTAAACCTTCTTAAAGAGCTTAAAAAAACAAACAATTCAGTATATCAAAGTGTTTTTGTACGGTTATTGGTTACGGAGAAAACTAAAAAAATTGTAAATTTAAAATTCCCATGTTATTCTTATGGAGAATATTTTAAAATGTTGTAGTTTGCTTGTTTATGGATATCTTTTTATCAAACTTGGCAAATGTATTCATTTTCTACTAAGCAATAATTATTTTACTTAAAATACACACTTTATTAGTTTCCTTGTAGCAGCAAACCTAGGTACTCGTTAAACCTAATGTTATTTAAATAGATCGATTGAAAATCAATTCAGCCAAATGGAAATTCGCTTAGACGGCAGGTTTGCTGCGGCGGGGGTATTTAATTTAATAATGTGAATTATTTATCTCATGGTAATTTTCTTTCCATAATACTGTGTTACCACATTTTCCATTTGTAAATCATATGAATTTTTCTACTAAGTATCATTATATTGTAAGATATATGTGAATAGATGTATGTATGTTATGTATCTATTTAAGTTTCTTTACCAAAAAATCCTGGTAAATTTTTCTCAAACATTATTAGTAATGTTAGTAACAATTAACAAAGTTAGTAACATTTTGAAAAAAGATTAAGAAATTAACTTAACAGTTAGACAAATTGAGGTAAAAATGAAAAAAAGTTGTATCTAACCTAAAAACGGTATCAGTACAGTAACTATTTCATTAAAACATGTGAAAAATACTCATTTAATAATTTTGTTCAATTAAATTATAAAAATCACATCTTTATGATCAACACATGTGGTTGTAATTTCATACTGTTGTTATTTATTATCAGTGGAATGGTATCTTTATACTTTTTTGTTGTTTATTTGAAAGCTCTTGTTATTGGAACAAACAACTGTTATTGTTTATCTACTCTCAATCATGTATATAAGCACTGTATATACCACATGAAGTGCCATTACACATTTGTACTGTCCAATCTTAATGTATCTACCATTTTAAGACACCAAAAGTATTGTGTTATTAAATAAATTGTTTATTAGTATTAATATGTTAAGATTAATCAATTACCTTTGTTATTCCTTTCTTACTGGTTTTTAACTAACTCGTAATTTTTGAATTTTAAAAGTTTTTTGTCCGATTTTTTAAAGTTTGTATTTAACAATAGACAATTTACGCAGCAACTTTTATTGTATAATTTTTTTTGATTTTTTCAGGAGACCATTCAAACCCTGGTTTTGTTACTATCTAATGTCCATCTTTTGTTAGATAGCCTCATTAATTTGTATCCAAATGACAAATGGCATCTTGATCTAGAATTGAGCAATCCGTAAGACTCCCATGAGGTGGTGTGCAGGTGGGTAGAGTCTCTACTTAAGAGGAGGAAGGTAAGACTCTCTTCTCACAATGAGGTTCTGGAGGCCAGGACCACACGAGGGTGTCCACAGGGGGGTGTACTCTCTCCTCTTCTCTGGAACCTTGTTGTGGACGACTTAATTAGATCTCTCAGTGATAGTGGTGTATTCGTTCAAGGATACGCGGACGACATTGTGATACTAGTTATGGGTAAATTCAATAACACGGTCTCCGACCTCATGAACACAGCCTTGAGGTCAGTTGGACAATGGTGCACAGAGGTGGGCCTTTCTATCAACCCCTCCAAAGGGGCGGTTATCCCCTTCACGAGGAGGCGCGATCTAAATGGCATAGGACCTCTGAGACTACAAGACACAGTGCTTGAGATGCAGAATCAGGTAAAGTACCTGGGGGTGGTATTGGACCGAAAGCTGCAATGGGGGCCACAACTCCAAAAGGTCATTGATCGAGGTAAGTGGTCACTCATGGCCTGCAGACGGATGGTGGGAGGAACCTGGGGGCTCAAGCCGGTGCTCATGCACTGGCTATTTGTCTCCGTGGTAAGGCCCGCCATGACATACGGCTCACTCGTGTGGTGGCCCAAGATGGACTCAGTGTCGGTGGTGAGAGATCTGGCTGCCGTCCAAAGACTCGCCTGTCTCATCATCACGGGCGCAATGAGCAGCTGTCCGGGAGCCTCACTGGACTGCCTTCTCAACCTCACTCCGATTGACCTGCATGTCAAGGTCACTGCGAGGAGGACTGCCTACAGACTCCAGTGTGAAAACCTTTGGTTGGATGTTGGAGGATCCCGAGGTCACTCTCGGATCACTCAGCAGGTAAGAGGGGAGGTAATGGACATGCCCTCGGATCACATGCCGACTCGATTCTTCTTCGCCAGACCATTCACTGTCCTCCTTCCGTCCAGGGATGAGTGGATGTCCGGTGGGAATCCTCTTCCACAAGGCGACCTTGAATGGTATACTGATGGTTCAAAGGTAAGAAGTGGGACTGGGGCTGGAATTCATGGAGTGCAGAACAGGGTGGACATTTGTCTTCCTATGGGCACTCACCCAACTGTGTTCCAGGCCGAAATGACTGCGATTATGGTATGTGCTAGGGAAAACCTGAGGCTAGGCTTCAGGGACATCAACATTTCCATTTTTACAGACAGCCAGGCTGCGCTCAAAGCGCTTGACTCCTATGAATTCAATTCTAAGGTGGTCTGGGACTGCCTTTCTGCGGTATGTGACCTGGGCAGGCGCAACAAGGTAACGCTCTGTTGGGTTCCTGGGCACTCAGGGATAGAAGGGAATGAGGTGGCTGACAGGCTAGCAAATGTCACGTCAGCCTCAGACTTCGTGGGACCACAGCCTTTCTGTGGAATCTCTCGTGGGCATGCATGTCACTCAGTCATGGCATGGGCTCAGGAGGAACACAGGAAAAGATGGGTTAGGCTTCAGCACCATAGGGTAAGTAAGCTCACCCTCTTCTCCCCTTCCCAGACGGTCGCCTCCAATGCCCTACGCTTGGACAGGAGGCGACTCAGACAGATCACAGGAATGGTCACTGGACATGGCTTTCTGAAATTACACCTGCATCGCTTGAGGATCCACAATGTTGACACTGCGTGTAGGAAATGTGGGCAATCAGAGGAGACTGCTGATCACCTACTCTACGACTGCACAGCTCTGAATGAGGTAAGGGACAGTACTCTTGGTGCAATGACAAGGGGCAGACACCTTCCTCAGGAGGAGCTCATTGACAGGATGCTGGAGTTCATTAAGCAACTCAGGTTTGACGGACTCTGAAGTACCATGTGGGGAGCGCAAAAAGCCCATCAGTGGCTGACGTGCAACAGGACAAGGTCCCTACAGAATCAATCAATTAATCAATCCGTAAGACTCTTTAGAAAGACTACTTAGACTTACTTGTTCGAAAACCTTTGTTGCTCAGTGAAGTATATGAAATTGTTTTAGACTTCCATTATCATGTACGACTTTACTTTGATTAAGCCTTTGCCCTGTTGTGTTAAAACAGCTCACTTGATGATTTAACTTGATTCGACTCAGCTTTGGATTGAACCGTATCCTTAAATTTTGGATATAGGCTTTATACATATGTGTGTGTGTATGTGTCTGTGTCTGTGGAAGCGACAACTTGAGTAATTTTGGTCCGATTCTGCTAAATTTGGCATGGACGTGTCAGGCTTAATACACTTGAACTCATTCTAACCATCAAAATCAGACCATGGGAACGGGGTGAAAATGGGGTTTTCCCATTTTTGACCCTCAAAACAAAAAAAAACTACTTTGCAGTTTAATTGAAAAATATTTCGTACAGTTCAAAATACAAATAATTAAGTATATTCAAGCGCTGTGCTAAATAGTTATGGATAAAAGTGAAAAAAAAACTGAAAATAAAAAACTCCTACGTTATTTTTATGGAGAGTATAAACTGTTGTAGTTTGCTTCTTAACAGACACATTTTGATCAAATTTGGTATTTTTTTTTCATTTTATACTAATCTATTGACATTTTTACTAAAGCACACTAGACTTTATTACCTCCCCTGTACCACCAAACCTAATTTGATTTAAAACAGAAATAAATATGACATTTTTAGAGAAATATTTGAGCGAAAATGAAACTATCCAAATGGCAATTCGCTTAGTCTGAAGGTTTTGCTGCAGCCGAGGAATTATCTATATTATTAATTCTGTAAGAGATTTTTTTAAATCAAAATTGTGAAAGTTTGACAGCTCGCAAGATGATGAAAGAGAGCTCAAATTAAAGAACTTGGTCCCAGGGGGTCGGGAAAAATACCAGATTATGTCCAAATCTACCAGAAAATGAGAAATAACATAAAGTATTTTCCATTTAAAATGCATTGGGATTGAAAAACGTCAGCTTTGTTTACATTAAACATGTATTGTAAGTGCATGAAGTTTGTTTACTAATCTACAGTCCCACGAAAGTCTGCAGTTGAGGGAGGAGCCTGTTTACCACGTGACTTTGAAGGAGGCAATGGGAGGACAGTGCGGTGTTGCCAAATCTAATAATACCAGCTGATTTGAAAATATTGTTTAGTATTTTGATTAGTGTCGTCAACAGGTGATATGGCAACGTCATACTAGCCTTGTCTTGTGATTGGCTGCCGCCAACTGCAGACTCTCGTGGTCCCGACTGTACAAATTTAGATGAACTAGAGGTTGTCCAGTGGTCGAAAACTCAACCAAAAATATGTGATGTACAGATTTTTCTATCTAAATTTGTAGATTAGTAAACAAATTTCATGCACTCTGATCAAGAGAATAATTAAAAATAGAATAAAAATGACAATACTTTGTAATCACGAATGTTTAATTTAAACAAAGATGACCTTTTTTCCAATCACAATGCATTTTAAATGGAGTACATTTTTTTAGAAATAGTTATTTTCCATCCGCTATAACAGTACCGTCAGTACCTAGTCAATGACACAGTAACAGTAACTCTACAACTAATACTCTGTAAACTGTTGCTAAGCAACTGTTTACAGCTTATTGACTCAGGAAGATTTAGCAACATGTGATTGTGATATATGTTTACTTCTACATAATATTAAGTCTTTGTTTATTTTGCTAAGTACATTTTATTTGAATATTGAATTTCAAATTGAAAGTATAAACAGTGTAAGATGGGTACTAGTAAGATTTGCTGAAAATATTAATCCACCTCCTGTGCTTGTAGATGTTAGATCCATAAGGATAATTTCAATTCATGAAATTCAAGGTATGTTGAGTGTTGCTTTTAAGTTGCAGTGCTACGTACTTATCAATATCTTCACTTAAGGTGTAGGCAGGTGATATTTTATTTTTTTATTTCTAGTCAACACTAACTTATTTTAGACCACTTTATATAGACTTTCTAATAACTCATAAATTATTAAAGTATGTAAGGAAGTACTTTATGCCATAGCTCGCTCCCTATGATGCTAAATGCAAAGTACCCATATTCAAAGTGGTATGAATTCATACCTATAATTTTCTATAACACTTATCTGTACTAAAATGGGACCAATGTGGCACTAAAATTGTAATTCAAGTATTCGAGACTCTATTGATGATAATTTATGTTAACAATAAATGTAGGTTTGATCGGGGAGCGAGCTAGGCTATTGGTAACACAGGGCTTCAGAGCCTTAGGTCCCGGAATCAAATCCCGCAACCCAATGGATTTTATTCATATGTGATAATGCTGTGACCCTCTAGGACTAGCCTGAAGTAATGTGTAAAACAGTTCAAGACCTAGCGTCCTAGGATGTGAAGGTGGGATATAAAAAACAAAGTGTAGGTTTGATAACATTATAAATAAATGGTTGGACTAACAATAGTTTGGTATTAAATTATACCAACCATACCTACAGTATATAAATGTAAATTGGCACTTTGTAGATATAAAAAAAGAATTGAAACATTAAAAAAATATTAAGAATGGACGACACGAGTCAGGAAGGAGATGCTCCTGCTAAAACCTTGACAAAGGATGGTACTGTTGAAGAGAAGAGACCTTCACTCTCAAAACTTGAAACTAGGAGATCTTCTATAATTAAAGAATCTGGATCAAAAAAGATGTCTATTGTACATGATGCAGAATCCTTAAAATCTTTAAAGGATGTAGGATCAACAAAATCAAAATCTTCAAAGGACGTAGGATCAACAAAATCAAAATCTTCGAAAGTTGGAGGAAATGAGCTGATCTTGGATGAGGAGGTTGAAATACAGTCACAGGCACTGGAGGTTTTGGATGGAAAAGAAAGTGAGCTTGATCAACCACTAAGTGTTTTGGAACCTGCACAGTTGTCTTCAGAAGAAGCTGGTGAGTAAATTATTACAAACTTATTTTAAACAGTAAACTGCTTCTAGACTTTTGTGGAAATACTTTTGTTCCCTTTCAAAATCCAGGAAATCTTCATCTTATCAGAGCAAGAAGCTTGACATATATTCATAAGTCAAATAAAATCAAAATTAAAAACATTTTGTTCCAAAGAAAAAAAAAACGGATCTTAAGAATACAGAACATACAATAAACAATACTTCCGGTGTAAATTTTGTATCGTGTAAGCCTAGCACCTAAAAGGAGTAAGTTTAGAGCGGGAATGTGAAGAGTAAATAAGTCTTAAAATTGCATGTAGTCTACATTCCAAAAAGACTCCTATAAAATACATAAAAAATATTGATTGCATATTTCAAAAATGGCAGCAAACTTAAGTGGGAAACTGTGTATTTTATGTACCATATTCATAATGTAGATGCAGTTTTAAGACTTATTTACTCTTTGCATTTTCGCAAACTTACTCGTTTAGGAGCTACACAATGCAAAATGTACACCGGGAGTAATTTTTTCCTTTAGGCTGTAACTCCTAAAAACTGTTGAGTAGCTTTATAGAAGAAATGTCAAGAATAAAAAAGGTTTTAAAATTGCATGTTCTTTCAGAGAAAATTATAAAATATAGGGTAGGCCTATTCCATAAAAAATTGCAAAGTAGGCTGTCATATTGGAAAGTAGCGGCTGAATATTACTGGGAAAAAAAGTGGTTCAGATTCCACTATAAACTGTAGGTCCCTTAGTTGCCATTGGCTGTATGGGCTATTAATTAACAGCTGTGTCTGTCTAAGGAACTTGTCAGCCTTAGTCACTATAACAAGACTACAAGTTCGCCACCACTCATCCTACACTCATATTTGGGTTAAAATAAGCAAATAGTTGCGTCCTCATCTTAAATAATTGATAATTGAAGATTTTGAAAAACTGAATTCATATTTTTAACTGCCAAAAAAAATAAAGGAATGTCTTCCATTTAAACTTTTCTCTAATTCTTACCTTTTCCAAAATCCCAATAGTGGCCTCCTTGAGTTGATCACCCTGAGGGTGTTTACAAAAGAATGCCGGGATTTTAAATGGTAATTGCATGGGAACTGATCAAGGTAACTAAACGATTTATTTATAAGTAAAATTGAGTTACTTGATTGTCCCAAATTACAGCACTTCAAAGTTTTTAAAATTTAAATAATCCTTTTTTCTGTAATCAGGTAGTTTACCGTAAAACTTAACTCCAGTAGGCCCAAAATTATTTTTTTCTCATATAAACTTAGTGTATGAGCAGGCGCTGGGATAGTATCCCGATTTATAGTAAATTGTACAAGTGGTATAATCCTAATATATGATTTTATACAAGCTGTATAAAATGGTCATAGTTGCAAGGTTTTTTAATTAAGTTGTTATTTCTTTGATGATAAATGGAGAAAGTAATGTTTGTTTGAACATTTCATATTTTGTCATACAATTCATATACATTAATATTTTTCTAAAATGATATATTGTTTAGAATAAATGTCAATTTCAAAATAGACATGAAAAATAGTACTGTACTGCATTATTAATTGTATTTAGCTTATTTTGTTAAAAGATGCAAATAAAGTCGTTTTACATACCAGGAAATGATTTTAAAATTTTATTTATCTGTTCAGATAGAGATTTTGAGGAAGTAGAGGAGGAGTATGAAGAAGAAATAGAAGAAGACGGGGAGCTGAAAACTGTTACCAAAAGGAGAACTGTAAAAGTACCCAGGAATAAGACAACACAAGAAGATTTTGAAGAGAATAAAACAAAAGTTAATATAGAGGAAGAAGAGGTAGAGGAGGAATATGAAGAAGAAATTGAGGAAGATGGGGAAGTGAGAACTGTCATGAAAAAAAGAATCATCAAAGTTCCCAAGCATGCAGAAACACTTGAACAAACATTAGAAGAAGATGAGTTTGAAGAGTATG